TCCTGCAACATTAATAAAGGGAAAATAGCCTGTTCATTTACTCTGTTTATAATGGAATAGAGGGGAAAAAACTCTTTTCTAGCTGTGTGTAGTTGAGAAATTCCAAGTATCTGTGATGGTATGAGTAGATATTTCTTTAATTAGCAGGGAGAAAGGAGAAATCAAAGAAATCCTACAAGCACCCAAAGAAAGTGATGTCTTCACCTAGTATTCAGAAAAAGGAGAAGCCAGCTGAAAAGGTAAAATCAGAGCTGTGAAACTAGCCTATCTGGTTGAGTTGAATAATGAGGAATTCTCTTAAGTTTTGGACTTGATCTTAAAACATACTTAATGTGTTTTTCTTTCGTTGATAGTCAAGTTCCCGAGATGCATCTCCATTCGTGTGAGTAATTTTCGAAATCCTTGTCCTCAATATTCTAGAATATCCCTTTTTTGCAAAATGTTACTGATAACATCATGTGCATCTTTCTTTTCTAACCAGTGTGAGTATGCAGCAGAATAAGTGGGATGCCTCCAGGTCACTAAGATTCAACCAAGATGCTCAAAGAGAAGATGGTCTGTTCTTGCATGAGTTTAGCTTTCATAAAGTTAATATTGTGCAGAGAAAGTTATTCTTTTATGTAAGAAATGACTAGTTTTCTTAAAATATAGCAACTTGGAAACCTTTAGATTTAATTTAATCTCAAATACAGCAATGGTTTTCTGGGTAGGTTTTTTTTATAGTTGCTCCTTGTTTGGAAGAGAACAGATTTCAACAAGGTTATTCATTAGTAATCAGCTGTATCCAAACCACACAGCAATCTCAGACTCTTCCAAACTGATACAGCTAGGAACTCCTCCTGAAAATCTTAGTTAAAAATTTGATTGGCATTTATTAGTAATTTCATGCATCCTACAGGAGAAAAATTGTTTGTGGTAGGAAAATGGAAAGAAAATCCACCATGTAAAACTACACTCTATGTGCAAGGCTACAATGTAAAAATTAAATGGGCAGTTTTGGGCCTACTGACTAGAAAGATATTGGAGAGGAGCTCCACGTTTAGCAGAGAAGAATTAAAAATGCATTATTATGTGTATGTTAGCATGGTTTATGTTCTTTATTTGGAATATCAACACACAACCTACAGAAATTATAATTGTGTCATTTGATGGATGCGTAAATATGTGAACAATTTTTCCTGCATCCCTGTGCCATTTGTTTTGTGTGTAGATAAACAGAGGTAAACATTCATTTCTATCTCTTTACCAGTCTTTCTGACTAAAAATATTCAGGATTATTTGTTTGTTCCACCTTTTTTAATTTCTTCTGAGGTTCTTGCGCATTTTTGCTATTTTGAAAACCTCTGCCTCAAAACATTCCCATAGATTTTGATCTCTGTGTAATGCCTCAGGCTGATTCTGGTATCTGCCAAGAATGCTGCTGAAGCTACGTTATGCATCAGGATCTAGCATCTTGGTTGTTCAAGATTTTTATATGAGCTGAAAAGAAAGCTACTTTTACAAACAGAAAATTACTTAAGTGTGCGTCTAATTCTTTGTATTCAGTAGCAAGGATAACATAAGTTTTAAACATTCTTTTTTATTTCTGACAGATCAGAGAAGAATGTCTGAGATTACAGGGCACTTAATAAAAATGAGACTAGGAGACCTTGATCGAGTCAAGTCAAAGGACAGCAAAGAAGTAAGATTTGTCTTGTCACAATGTAGTGTTTACAGAACTGAAGTCAGCATTGGTAACAAAAATATTGTTACATATGGAAATAACATCTATTCAATACTTACACTGAAGAGCTGAATTTTGTCAATCTTCATTTTGTTCCAAGTGTGATTTTTTTTAATTTTTTAATTATTTTTTTATTTTTTTTTTAGAAAATAGTTTAAAGTAATATTTAAAGTTCACTGCCTTTAAAAATAGAGCATGGAAAATATCACGGGTTTAAAAGGTTTCAATACTGGCTTGTGATAATGAAACAGAGTATACTGTAGGTTCTGCTCAATATTAGTGATTTTTATGAAAAGTCAGCGATTGAATTGGAATAATGTCAACTTGATTTTTTTTCTGCATTGCAGTATGCAGGAGGCATTTATTCTAGACTTGAAGCTCAGATAAAGGCTTCAGCGCAGATCAGTGCACGACAAAACAACGCTGAGAAGAATGTCAGGTAAGGTATTAAAATAAAAGGAAAAAGCAGAATGTGGGATGGGTAAGTTTTGTTTAAAGAAAAACATGCCTCATTTCAAACACTTGTTTGCATCAGCATCCCTTCCAGTAGGTTAACCATATATGATATGAAAGCTTAATTTGTCAAATTTAACTAGAGCTAAAAGAATGAAACTCTTCTTCCTGTGCTGGAAGAATAGCTTCTATGTTGACAGTTTGGCTGCTGCTCCGATATGATTTTCTATGAAATTATGGTTAGCTAAAAGAGAGTTAGTCAAGATTCTTTAGCCTATTCTTTGGTTTCCTTCCAAAAACAAAACCAAAATACCCCACACACCAAAGACCCAGATCCCTGCTTATTGGTTGTCTATGCCTTAAATGGATAAAACATAAATGAACTGAGAAGCTGGCACAGCGTGTACAGTTGAAGAGCCTAGAACTGGTCATACTTTGGCCAGCCAGTGAGCCTCTTGAGCTGAAGCTTGTAGTGGAGTTGCTGACAGACTTTTAAGGGATGGGCTGGAACCTTCAAATATGTTGTCAGAGGAATTTCTCACAGGTCTTATTTCTTTCAAAAAAATGCATGTGACTTTCTTTCTGTAGAATTAGTGATATCAAAAGAAGATACTTGACATCACAGTTCTTTTAGCTGTGTAACTTTGTACGAATATGTAGTTTGTAGGTGTGGGCATCTTGGCAGAAAGGCAATTTCTCAATAATAAATTTTGAGTGTGGTTTTTTTTTTCTTTCCTTTCCTCCCCTCAGAAGACATTTCAACTTGAATGTAATTTCAAACAAATACTATACTAGAGAGCTAACTGGACAATAACTTAAAATTCTAGCAGTAGCAATGTATATTTGTTTCTTGTGTGTTCTTACTCCAGGTCAAAATCCCGTTTTGGTCAAGGCCGTCCAACATAGGGACTCCTGAAAAAAAAAAACTTTAGCCAGAATACATTACTGCTTCCCGAAACTGTACTGCACTCTGACGTGTGGAGAACGCACATCTCTGAAAGCTTTCCAGTGACTTATTTATTACTTTAAGCCTTGTAAATTATTTTGTGTGATTAATGAATGCAAATCCAACAAGGTCTGTACTTATTTTAATTGTAAATATACTGTTTCTTAAATTAAAATGTAATTGCTTTTTTAGGCTATTGTGTTAAGTAGAATAGAGAATATTTTATAAATCTCCATAGTTAAATTATAGACTAACTTTACTTATGAGGAAGACATAAATATGCCTTTTAGTATGCTAGAAATACTGAAAAGGAAAAAGCAAGACTACTGAATTCTGCAGCAGCATTAACACAAATCACCTTGTGTATTTATATTGTGTAGTATTTGATGGTATATTTTAGGTCAGTCCTCTGGGGATTTGCATTTAAAGCCTGTGACAATACCTGTGACTTAGATTAGTTTAAGCAAAATTTTAGTGCAGTTCTGAGGCTTCCTTCTGTGTATCACACAACTCCCATTCATGTGAAGGTGGGTAGCAGGTAGAGACTAGACCTCCAAGATTACAGAAATGCCATGATGATGCAGTATTGCGTCTTGCACATGAAATGCTTGCTTTATTGTATGTGAAATTAATACTCATTCCCATTCCATATCTGATTTCTTTTGCACAGTACAGTGTTTTGTTTCCTTCTAATATCCAGACCTTAGGATGCGAAGCAGTTCTATCTCTTAATGATGCTATGACACTAAATTTCCAAGCAGATATGCTATTAATTCTGCATCTTTCAATGGAGGTGTACCATTACGGAGATCTGTGCATGTAGATCTTTTGGGTCTAGTTACTTTCTAAAACCTGCCTGAATAATACTGTTTAGAAGTCAGATGCACTTTCAAGTTCTGTATTTGGAGCAATAGAATACAAGTATGTCTACATGTAAAATCCAGGGCTACCAAAATGAAATAACCTGCCTAGAAAATAGGTCACATATTAGCAAAGAAAATGGCAATAATGACTATAATAATGGCTGAATTCAAGTAAACACATTCTGACTTTTTGAAACAGGTAGAAAGAGCGCTCAGGGAAAGCTTATTCCAAGCTGCAGCTCTACAATAATTTGTGAGTTTGTAATTAAGTCAGCAAGATCCTGGGTGGGAGGGTGGGGTGGGGTAAGGAGAGGAGGGAGATCATTGTTTAAATGCACTCTTGTCTCCATTCAGGCTTTTCTTGTTTGTTGTGTTTCTTGAGGATTTTCAGTAGGCCATAGAAGACTAGGATAGCAATACTTGAAGACACAGCTTTCAAGGTGGAAGATTTTTATTGAAACAGTAAAAAATGAATGTTGTTTATTGTGTGTTTCATCTAATGCTGCAGCAAATTTGGAGCAAAATTAAACCAACAGGCAAAACTCTGGATTTCAGTCGCTTTGATTTTGGGCAGGAGTTGTACATTTGCAGGAGTGCTTTAATCTGTATCAAATACATAAGGCTTAATTAATGCCTCAGGCCTGTTTGCAAGTAGGAATACAGTATTAAGGACTTACAGTAAACACTGGGAAAATGATTGTTGTTTGTTGAAAGACAAAGTATTATAAAATCCGCTGGGTATGAAAATGCAGTAGAAGAAGTGTTTTGCTACAATTTTGTGACTTCTGATAGAGGTTTGTTCCAAATTCCCATGGTAAACTTCGTTATGAAAGTTGCAGGCTGTGTGTATTTGTGTTCAGTTTTCATAGAACTACTGACTAGATGAGAAGAGAAAATGCTGCTGGTTTTGTTCTGTGGGAAAGTGCCAGTTCTATGTGCCAGTATTGTTTTGTTCAGAAATATTTTTGAGCATTTAAAAATAACGTACAAGATGTGCAGTTTATCTTTTTTTCCCCTTGCCAACCACCTTGAATTTTTTCGTATTAATTTTGAAAATTTTGTCTTGTTTTAATGGAAATAAATGTTATTGATTTAAGAAGTGTCTGAGTTTTTTATAGATGCTAGTAAGAAATAAGTAAGTGGATAAATGTTGTTTGATGGTCTCAGTCATGCATGTGTATCTGTGATTAAATTGCAGCATGGTGGTACATGCTTTTTATCTGTCAAGACCAAGATATGGTTGAATGCAGAGCTACTCCAAATCTATGAGAATTTAAAAAAAAAACCAACTATCTGCATTGAGTTTTGAAGCTGGATTAAAAGTTCACAAGCGAGCTGCCCTACAAATGACCTAAGTATGCAAAATGTCAGGCTAAACTATGTTAAAAACGCATTTAACTTTGCCTTCCACTGCTACAGTGTTGATCATGCCATTTAAACAGTTAAATCTATGTTAAACCTATGAATAAGATTAGTTTCCACGATTGTTTCTAGAAATTGCTGTATAGGTGTCCTGTCTATGTGCAGTTGGTATACTGGGTGTACGTCCTACTGCCATCTGTGTGTTTAAACTCACTCGCTGCACTGTGGAGCTGTGTCTGTTTGCTTGATGTCCAGAAGTCTTGGAGAAAGGGACAGAATTTAAATTCATACACAGTAATGACTCCAAGAGAAAAAGATGACGTGCTAGGAGAAATGTGGATATATGGTTGCCCCAGTCTGTAAACATAGAACTATGAATAACATGGGCATATTTGATGTGACTGAGGGACAATTCTCTTTGCCGGAAGGGAATCAGTTTTTTTAAAAACATAGTTTCCTGTTCTTCTTGAATATATGGACAATACTGAATTGTGTTGGGAAACTGCTCCAGTGCATCAGATGCTTGCTTGAGCCATTATGTGAAGGTCCTTGCTTCTCTTGAGGCACCTCCCTCTCCTCCTCAGGCAAATGTAAAATCTTAAGTTGTTACTGACGTCTAGGAGAGAAGCAGATACAGACAAATACTGAAGACATTCCTCCTGCAGTTGTTCTTGGTGAAATCTTGTGTCAACTGTACTACTGTGTTCTGAGTTTGTTTTCTATTTCCTAAAAATTGGAAAGTATAGAAAACTGCACTCGAATTTATCTTACTGCAGGAATGGTATACTGCAGGACTGCAGTCTCCTCTTGGCTATATCTATAAATAAAACCCACCAAAGGCTTTTCCAGGCTTGAGCCAAGTGACAGCACAGAATGGCTGTGTCTCTGAGGTTACTGTCTCATCCTGTTGTGATTTAGGGCTGGGCTGGCCACTAAATGCTGGGCAGATGCTCTCTTTTAACCCCTTTCCTATCCCCAGAAGGGGAAGAAAAAGAGAATAAGGGAGAGAGAAAAGAAAACTAACAGATTTAATGAAACAATACTACTAATACTACAGGATAATAATGTAAATAGGAAAATAATGAAATATAAACAAATATATACAAAATTAATATCGAATCCTCCCCCTACCCCCAGTAACAATTATGTCACCAGAGGCTCTGTGGAGCAGTGCATTGGAGAAGCCCCAGTCCGGACCCAGCAGCAGGTGGCAGCAGTATTCAGGAGCTGGCAGATGAACTAGCAGGGTTCTGCATGGACTTCAGCCATCCCAGAAGAAGGGAAAGAAGAGCTTGACCCTTGTGGTCCCTCAGCTTTATACTGAGTATGATGTATGTGGGATGGAATACCTTATTGTTCAGGTTTGAGTCATCTGTCCTCTCCGCTCCTCCCCACGGGTGCAACACCTCATTTACGACACCCCATGTGTGCCACCCATGATGTGGCAGTGGCCTTGGTCTCCATAGGCACAAGAATAAGCAACAACTATATTTACGTACCGTACCTAATAGGAAGTATAAACACCAAGCACTATCACTTGTAGAAATTAACATGGTCTGGAAAAATATGCTGTTAGTTTCAGAAAGTACAGTCACTTAGAAGAGACTTAACTGAAAAGTAAAATCACTAACTAGAAAATTAGTTCTGTTTAGCTCAGACTGGAATACCTGTCTTTGAGCACCATGATGGTGGAGGTTGATGGAACCACCAGCCAGTCTGAAGGCTACGCTATTGACACAAAGTTGCACAGGACTGCACAAGCTCCTCTACTTTGGGAATCCCTTCAGATACTAATTTGACAGATGTTGCTGCTGCTGTTGAAAGTGGGCACTGTCCTCAGTTTGTGGGAATCTGCAGTCTCACACAGTCCTGAGTAGATGCCAGCACATAAATATTTCCAGTGGTCAAGAGGGTTGGTTGCTAGAAGAACTTTTTGGTACAAATATCAGCTTATGTAGCCTCTGGCTTGGCTGTGATAGCACAAAGGTATGTGATACTCTTCAGTGAACAAGATCAGGAAACATCTCTTCCTTTTTCTCCTTCCCAGGAGATATTTTGTGCTTTGTAACATAACCTTGCGAAGGCCTAGACATCATGGATACAGGGAACAATCAGGCAGGAGAGGAAAAATAACTGCCTGAGGTTCGGGTCTAGTAATAATGCCATTGAATGCATAATCATGGCTGGATGTGGCCTTTGTGCAAAAAAGATGATGTCTGTGATTGAACTGCTTTTAATATTTTCAATCACTTCTGCTTAAATTGCTCCCACATTTCCATTTCAATTATTTAAGGCTAGGAAAGCCCAATTATAATTTTATTTTTAGTTATTACATGCAATTTTATTATGTTTTGTACTTTCATTCAAACTATAGTAATGACTTTAGTATCCATGGTGATAAAACATGCTAGCACAAACATGAGAAGACCTTGGTCTGGCAGCAGTCTCCTTACTGCGTAATCAGTTGCTCCTTTGAATTAAAGGTATATTTCCCTCCAAATGGTTGAAACAAACTGCATGATTAGCTGTATCCTTTGTAGACTCCAAAAGTTCTCTGCAAACTTTAGTGTCCTTTTTTTTTTCTTTTGAAGGAAACTTCATTGAAGTAAAACATTTTAACTGCCTGCTAAAGCTATTTTCAATGTATACCATCTGAAAATACTAGGCACACTCCAGAGGCATCTGCTTTCATCGCATCAAGTAGTAACTACTATCTTTGCAACAGGGAATCTGTA